GTGTGTGTGTGTGTGTGTGTGTGTGGTTGGACAAGTTAGTCCGGACGCGGCTGCAGCACCAGCTCCGGTCTGAAGAGGCTGACCACTGGCCACAGGGCGGCGCTACCGCTGTCTGTAATGAGCACATGCTCAGAGGGGGCTGTCCGCCGGTGATCACTTCTAGAACTAACAGTATGAAATATGAGACGTTCCATTCCGTGATGTGCCGCAATACATTGGTTTAAATAAATAACCGTCGGAATGGAGACGATCACGATGAATCGCGTGGCGTTATAAAGTGCGATGGAAGCCCACTTGTGTTAGCTCACCTCGGCAGGTCACTCCTCCACACATACAAACTGCCAACATACGAGCAGGCGAGCAGCAGACAGGACAGCACCGACACCCAGCATAAACCTTCCGGCGCTACGAAGCCGCCATCGCTGTGTCTCATCCCCTCTGTCAGCATGGTTGGTGAGAAACCCTCCTCCTCTGCCATACCGACGGTCGGTAGAGACTAAACCATCGAACCACAGAGAGCACCCGCCAACACGAGCTGGGGAAGCTGTCAACAACCTTTGGAAACGTAAGCTAATGTAGCTAGCTGGAGTACCAGCTACTGTGGCGCTGTATTTCTACGTCATGAGATGTTCTTCTTCTACTCCTACGTCTTCTTCTTCTTCTGCACCACTGCCATCTTGTGGAGGTCTCTGTGTCCTTCAATGTTTATGACTCGAGTTCACTCTGCCCCCAAAACAAAGTGATGCTACCACCAAGCTAAGCTGATCCACTTTTATTTAAACCTATCAGAAAACCACTTCAGTCATATTGTTTAACCATATATATAGATTCCCAAGCTGTTAAATATATTTTCTCAACAAGGTGGTCAAGAAATCATTTTCCCAAGCATATTTCAACTGGCACAACATCCCCAGTCTGATCACTATTTTTTGATCAGTGCTGTTATCGTAATTATAACCCCCAAATAAATTATCGTTAAACTCTCCTGTTCACACTGAGATCTTCCTCTCCCAACCTTTTTTATATTATTGTGAAAAAGGGCTTAATGTTTCAAGGTAATCCAATTATTTGAGTAATTGTCTTCATTGTGAATGTCACCATGCTGTTCACAGTTCTTCAGGATGAACATGGTAATCTAGGCACAGGTGAAAAACATCACATTGTGTGTAAATTGAATTGTGGCAGAATTGAATTTAGCTGCTTTTTTTTCAGGATTACAAACAAAAAATGAATACAGTACTAGTGAGAAATGATTTAATTATTTATCCCATCTAATATAATAATATAATATATACGTTTTTATATACAAGCAGATCCTTATGTACTGTATATAGAAGCAAACTTCAATGTCAGTTCAACGGGCTATTGATTTTGTGATTTGGAATGAGAGAGTATGATGTACAAACATGATAATTCATTAACTGTACATGATATTGAAAAGCTGAGAACAGTTTTAATATCTTATATAGATTAAAAAATAATTCATCATCATATGTATGTATTATATCAATGTGATGTCACTATGAAGTCAAAAAATGACATCATAGTACTGTAGACCAGTGATGATCTTCGGCTCGTTTGATGAACATGGTTCCAGGCAGCAGGAAAATACATTACCTGGTAACAGGGACACAAGGAAAACACTTGGGAACCAAAGCAGGAGTGTGAGCAGAAACACATGTAGACAAAAAGACAGAGAAATGACCACAGCAGGTAAATCGAGATGACACATGGGGAAGACAACGCTGAATTAGAGTGAAAGCAGAATCAATGGTCTGATATTGGAGCAATAGGTAAATATGAAAACTTAACATTGACATTGTACACTTAGGTATGCAACAGGTGAGTATGAAGACTGACACAAAGATCACAGTGAACACATCAGTGGAGTATATGATGGTCAATAAAACCCATTACTATCAATTATCAACCACACAGTATATCACTTTAGATCAGATGTAACAACTTTTTTTTACAGTTTACAGTTCTTCCTACTTTTTTACTTCCTATATGTCATTCTAGTGTCAAAATAAAAGCTCCATAATCATCTGTACAATGTATCAATGTAAACATAGTATTTCTGTACCTGTACCTTATATGACAAATAAATATATAGACAAATTGTTCTATTGTTCACAGTGGATCAGTTGCTACCTTATTTATGATGGAGGTTTGTGTGTCTCAGAGCTGTATTGTCAGGGGCATTAGCTGCTTGTCTCCTAAGGCAAACTGGTTTCAGGGGAAAGGCCACACTGTGACCATGTGGCTTTACACCTGCTGCAGAACATTAAATATAATAGTGAAGATCATTTTATTTATTTGGATTGAATTTATATTCTCATTATTATTATTATTGTGGTTGTTGTTGTTATTACTATTATCATTTACTGATGCTACTATCATTAATAATTACATTCATAGATATCATTCTTATTTGAAAGAGCTTAAATATAATAATGGCAATATAATAAACACGCCCTGCTGGAGCATGGTGTCTCTGTGATTATTTTACTCAGAAATACTGTAAATTGAAAATGATGCAATTATCCAGTGAAACGCACAGATTCCTGCTGCACCACGTCACCAAACGTTGTCATTGTTTTTCATCGAGAGCCCATGAGGGAAGAAAAGGACTTTTACAAAATGATGTTTTTAACAAGATTTGTTTTTTTTACATCAGAGAGAGAGAGGGAGAGAGAAAGAGAGGGAGGGAGGGAGGGGGAAGAAGGAGAGGGGGCGGGGTAGGCGTGACACAGGCCTGTCTGCTCTTATAGTCGAGAGGAATGAGCGCGTCTCAGTCTCCGATGAAATGTGAGCGGAGGATGCTCCTGCTCCAGATGCCCTGCACTACTTCTTCTTCTTCTTCCTCCTCCTCCTCCTCTTCTCCATCTTTTTCTACTCTCACATTCCGCCCTAACGCCTCCTAGGCCTTGCGGGGGACGGACAGAACCCATCCAGGGGAGGATTTACGCACAGACCCGAGCCGGTCCCGGACCTCCATTGGCAAACATCAGCGGGTACGGGCCTGTTTATGTTCCTTATGTCTTAGACAGCAGCTCCATCCACAAAGGATCTATCTATTCACTGCTCTGCCAGGGATGTGATGGAGGTTAAAGTCACTTTTTGAATCTGTGGACGTTCACGTTTTCACCTTTATTCAAGCTGACCCGAGTCTTTATGAGGTAATTTGATTGGTAAGTGATGTGAGCAGATTGTGTTCTCATCAGTGGCTTTGGAGTCTTTTTTTTATTTTTTATTATTTACCTCTACATCAGTGCTGCTGCTGTTTGTGTGCGTGTACGTCAGGGAAATGTGTGCGTAAGGAGGGTGTGTGTACGTGCCGACACCTCCCGTATGTAGTGTGCGTTGTCTGTGCGGTGGTTTCCACTGTGTCTGTGTACAAAGCCATTCTGCAGCGTGCGCTCCACAAATGGCACAATAGGCTGTTTATGTCACCAGACAGCTAATTTCATTTGCCTGAACGAGGAAGAAAGAGTCAATCTTGCGTGGATACTAATTCCCCATCCCCACTATCCCGTGCCAATCCTTCGCATATGGCCAAATCCGATCAGGTTACTACATCATCGCGTCTTAATACAGGAGGAGGGATGGCCCTGGGAAAACGCAATACGCTGCAATCTGCACACACCGAGCAGGGATGATGAGACGAGGAAGAGGCCATGTTTGAAGCATCCAGGAGCAGATATGAAGCCTCTCTGATCCATTTTCATGTAAGCTCCCAGCTTCTAGATGGTTCCAGGTTGCTTTTTCAGGGAGACTCTGTCAAAATGGCTCACAACACTGAACATAGTAGCAGGGCTTAGGTGCTATTCATTATATACAGTATTACAGTTTGCTGAGTAATGAGTCATATTTGTAGCTTCCTGGGAAGTGACAGTTTACAGACAGGACAGTGGGAAAAACACAATCTACATTGGTGACAATGTGTCTTGTAAATAGCATCGTAGCTGATGCCGGTTGCACATATTTGGAGCCTAAATATGTAACAGTTTATGAATGCAGTTTTCACCCACCGCTCTATTAATGGTTATGATGCAGCCATTTATATTTAATGTGGAGGTGCTCTATAGACGTCTGTCTGCAAGAAACCTGTTAACCTGATCCAATGGATGACTGATAAGTCTGGGGAACATTACAGTCATTTAGAATTCAACTCAGAAATAATTTAATATTTAAATTCGTGTGGTCAGAGCAGAGTCTCAGTAAAGTCCGCGAGAGATTTTGGATTAAAGAGCTTGTCTTGTGTTATTTGTAAAAAATATTGGAAATTATTATTAAACTCTGGATTTTTGTCGCTGCATCTTTACTTCGTGAGGCATGACCAATGTTTGCCAACTTTAACACAGTGTTACATTACTAAGTCAGTTCGCTGACTTCACTATGTATAGACAGTGAGCATTTCTCCAAAGGTAATTTTTACATATTCCTCTATGTGTTACTACTTTTGAATACTGTAGCTATGGAGTTCTTACTGATTGTTTTAGAAAATAGCATTATTATTTGTAGTTGCTGTAGCAGAATGTCGCTGATACTACCGTTGCAGTGTCACTAGCATCAATAATACAATACCAAATGTAGTAGCAATACCACAGATTTTAGCATTAATATTGCCAGCAACAGTAACAGTACCACCAGCACTGCTAATAGCAGAAGCTAGTGGGTATAATATTAATATTAGCATTACTAATTAGAGTCTGACTCATATATTGGCTGGACTAAACTTATCATCATATAGTTCCTAATAAGGTGATTCAATTTGAGCAGTTATTATTTTCAGCAGCTGACAAAAACATAGGTTGTTTGAGTTGGTTTGTTTGATCAGACACAGTCTGAATTAACGGTAAATGTTCAGTTGCTTATTTAAATCTGTACCGACTTTGTTTTCGGTTCCCTTGTAGTCTATTTTCAGTAGGAATTACTTTTCAATATGAGGATATATCGCTCTATCTCCTCTCATTCAGCATTCATTCAAAATGGTGCTTTTAAATCTTGAGGTGCACAAGTCCCAGTCTGATTTGTACATTAAAGCTCCTTGATTTGAGATAACGTTGGTTAAATTCTGATCTGCTTTTGAAACTATGCATATTCATTCAGATATAACATTACAAGTACAACAGCTAGTGGTTCTAATTAAACAGGTTGTTGGACTTTGGAGAAGCCTTGTGAGTACTGACAATAACATTCCCTCAGGTTTAACATTGTTTAACTATGTTTTATTATCCAAATCAAACTGTGATGTGTTGTAACACCATTTCATTTATATCAATAGTCTTCCTTCTTTGACCTTGCTGATGGCTTCGAAGTATTTTTACCTACCATCATTTAAGGCTGCATAACATTTTTATAAGTATAATTTCAAATATGAAACAGCCATTTTCTAATAATTATTTTCCTGTTCTGTTCCACCGAAGCATTCTTTCTTTTCATCGCAGCTTCAGTCTAACACACCTGGACTAATGCAGGTGGCTGTTTCCTGACTTAATCCAGGATCTTACATGGTGTGGGGATGCAGGGTAGCTCTCTTAGATAACCATCCAGAACTATGTATCTTTTTATGTACACATGAAAATAACCTATAGGAATTTCCTAAAGAAAATAATTCAGAGTGAATGGCAAAATTGTACTGTAATCCAG